AAAATAAAAAAAAAACAGTGGGAAGCAGAGAATTGGATGTGAGGGGCTTTAGGAGCATTTAGCTGGGAGCCCCAGCTGGGTGAACGGCTGGAGTGCCACGTGGTCCTGCCTAAATCCGGGATCTCAAATACTTCAGAGGTGCACAGAGCAATCAGGGTCCAAACTCTGGATCCTTTGGAAAAGAGGAAAATGAAAGGGGAGGAGAAGCAGAGCTGCCAGCAAGTCCCTGCTCTGTATTCCTCGCTCCCAAATCACACTGTCCTGACACAGCTCCCACCCTTGTCCAACCACCAAGGGCACTCCCCAGAACACCCTCAGGGGTTAAGAACACCCTGACATCCCAGGTAGGTAGAGTGAGATGAGCCCTGGAAGCTCCCAGACCCACAGGAATGGGGGGACAGACTCCAGCACGCTCACCTCCAGAGCCGGCCACTCGCAGGTCATTGCTGTTGCCTTCATAGGTGAACAGAGCCCTAAAGTTAAGGCAGAAATGGGATTTTTATCCAGTTTTATCCAGCACGGTGCCCATCTGGGATGTCCACACACCCCTGACACCTCCTGAAGTGCAGAGCCCCACAGAGAACCCCACCCCACACACTGCCCACCTCACAGCCCAGGGACTTACTGATCCCCCCAGACACCCCCACAGCCCTGATCCCCTCTGTACACCTCACAGCCCCTCATACACCCCCACAGCCCCCCCCTGCACACCCGCGACCCCTCATACAACCCACATCCCTGATCCCTTCTATACACCCCACATGCCCCCCCACACTCCCTGACACTCCACATCCCCCCCACTGGGGGATTTAGGCTGGCCCAGCCCTAAATCTTCCCCCAGATCACCCATTCCCAGCCATCCGTTTCACTTCCACCCCTCCACCCCCTCCCCAACCCCTCAGATTCCCCTACATCCCCCTCCCCCACCCCAGCCATCCTCAGCCCTCCTAAACACACACAGGTCCCCAAACACCCCACAGCCCCTCGCACACCCCCCATCTCCCCAAACATCCCCCAAACACCCCGCAGAGCCCCCTCGCAACCCCCTCATCCCCCCTCCTCGTCCCCCCGCCCCCAGCCCCCATCCCCCTGATGCCCCGTTACCGCCCCGCGGTGCCCCCGCCGCCCCCTCACCAGTCCCGTGGCGCTGCCCGCCGCCACCACGCTCCCGTAGGCCTCCTGCAGCGCCCGCCCGTTCTTGGCCAGGTTCAGCGCCATGGCCGCGCCCGCTCCGCCCGCCGGCAGCGCGGGCACCGCCCCGCCGGCGCTACCGGCACGGCCCGGCACCACCCCACGGCCGGACCACCCCCGGCACGGCCCCCGGCACCACCCCCGGCACCGGCACCACCCCGGCACGGCCGGACCACCCCGGCACCACCCTCGGCACCGCCCGCCCAGACCGCACCGCCCCGCGCCCGTCCTCCGGTGTCACCGGCACCTCCCGCCCCGCCTCACCGGCGGCCCCGCCCCGCCCTAGAGCCGGCAGACCACGCCCCTGAACCGGCAGGCCCCGCCCCCATCTGCCCCGCCCCGCCCCCAGACCACCCCGGGCGGCCCCGCCCCTCCCCGCTGTCCCCCCGACCTCCCCGGCCCTGCCGAGCCTCGGGGGTTTGGGACCCCTGTCCCAGCGCGGGTCTCGAGAGCCCCCATGCAAGGGGGGGCTCTTGGGATCCCCTGTCACAGAGCAGCGCTCGGGACCCCCCTCCAGAGCTGTTAAGGGGGATCCCATCCCCCCATCCCGGGTGTTCCTTGGGGTCCTCTGTCCCAGCTCTAGGGGACCCCCACCCCAGGGCGTTTCTGGTGCTACCCCACCCCAGAGTGACTCTTGGGAATTCCGTTCCCGGGCGGTTCCGGGGTCTCCTATTCCAGATCAATTTTCGGGAACTCCCATCCCATGGGGATTCTCAGAGTCCCCCACCCCAAGGGCAAGTCCGTGCCCCAGTGCAGCCCCGGGGGTCCCCACATCCCACACAGCCTTCCCCGCTCCCCGTAATGTACTCCTAACGCAGCCCCTGCGTGGAGAAAATCAGCATTTCCGGGGATTTCTCCCATTTTCCAGCCTGAGGAGGGTACACCTTGGGTGGGCACACCTGGGGTGACTCCAGGTGACGAACCTCGGAGCCTGGAGCTTTTTGGGGTGCAAACGCGCCTTAGTTTTACCCCATATCATCAAAATTCTGCACCACCCAGTAGGGATGCTGCTCCTCCCCGTGGCGATGACCCGCACGAAGAGGTGGCCAGCGGGGGCAGGAGGTGACCGGGGGGGAGGAGGGCACAGGAGGTGACCTGGGGCGGGAGGGACAGAGGGTGACCCTCGCCCGGAGTTGTCCCCAGCATGTGCTAATGGGCCATTAGCAGTTCGTTGTTCCCCCCAGCCCAGCCCTCCCCAGTTGCCAACATCTGGATGGAGCCGCGCTGCCCCCGGGAGGCGAGGAAGATTTGGGGGTGGCCTTTCTCTCCCCTGAGCCTTCCTCCACGTTCGGGATTACCCAAAATTTGGGCGAGCAGCAGGGAAGCGGAGGTGAAAGGGCTCCCCCAAAACTCCTGTGGCGTTTCACCCCCACGCTGCCGGGCCCAGGGGGCCACGGGGAGAACAACCCACCCATGAGACACCACTGTCAACCAGAGGGAAAATAACGGGGGCCTGAGCTCCCCGTACCCCGGGAGGGTGAGGGGTTTAACGAGCACCCCTGCCCCCCCCCCGTTTGTTCCCAGTGGTGGTGATGGTGACAGTGCTGTGCCAGGATTTGCCTCCTTGGGGCTTCAGCCTTTGCTTTAGGGGGGCTGGGGGATGTGGGGGTCCCCCCAGTGCCCCCACTGCCCAGTGAAAAATGCGTCTGGAAGAGTGGGATGGGAGATGGCAAATGGGGTGGCAGAGGGTGTCCAAGGGTCTTGGGGTGCCTGAGGGTCCTGCAATGGCCAAGAGTCCCAGGGTAGCTGAGTGTCCTGGGGTGGCTGACAGTCCTGGGCCAGATGAGGATCCTGGAGTGTCCAAAATTCCTGGGGTGTTCAAGGGTCCCAGAGTGGCCAAAGGCACTGGGGTGGGTGTGGGGTCACTGTAGCCAGCAGTGCTGAGTGCCTGAGAGTCCCAGCATGTCCAGGCTTCCTGGGGTGGCCATGGGTGCAGGAATAGCAGAGACTCCTGGGGTCGTTGAGCTCCTGCAGTGGCTGAAGCTCCTGGGGTGTCTGATGGTCCCACCTTAGACCCCCCAACCCCCTCCATCCCACGGATCCTCCATCCATCCATCCCGTCATCACCCCCAGAGCACCAGTCACCACCTGACATCACCTCAAAACCCATTTTAGAGGCTCTCCCGGGTTTATAGGACCTACAAAAATGTTTGGACACAGCCCAAAAGTGCAGTGCTGTTGGGGCCCGTGTTATGACCTGGGGACCTGCAAGGCTGGGAATCACTGGGGAGTGCTGGGTGACATAGGACAGCGGTTCATGCCGATGCCAGGAACCAGCCATGTCCTCACTCCTCGAGGACTCATCCCATGTTATTTATGGGGAACATGGGTAAAAGTAACGCTTAAGGTAATAATTTATATTTTTTAGCGTCCTGGAGTGCAAACAGCCCCCTCAGACACATCCATACCCCGTGTGGGGACTCCACCACACGTACCCCTAACCACAGAGCTGTTTAGGAAGAAGGGGCAGATGTGAGCTCCCCATTCAGCACAGGGCTAGAATGGCTGGAAATGTTAATTAAACACAGGGCAATAAAACATCTGGAGGGCTGGGAACAGGGAGGGCCGGCCAGCACGACCCCCTGCAGCTGCCTCCTGCTTTTCCTTGGGAATCTTGGGCAGGGGGGACTGGGGTCACCAGCGATTTCGATGGTACAAAAGCCTTTTCATGGAGTATTTCAGGCAGAGCAACTGAAGAACCTTTGTGGAGCAGAGCGAGGGGCTGCTGGGGGGTGGTGGAGCCTGGTGGCCCCCGGGGGTTTGGGGACTGGAGGTTGGGGTTCACAGTCAGGCTGTGGGTGATGGGGTGAGACCAAGACAATGGTTTGGAGATGTTGGATGAAGTCCCGTTTGGTGCCACCCCAGCAGCCCCGTGAGTGCCCGTCACGGGGGAACAAGCCCATCCTGTAAAAAAAAAAAAGGGAAAAAAGGTTTTTGCAGTGGGTCTGTCCTGCAGGATGGCTGGTCTTACCATGGTAGGACTCTGCTCCTGCTGTGGTGAGGGATGGGGGATGGGGAACCCCCCCTGAGCATCCCCTGGGGTAGGGACAGGGACACTGGGGTGAACTGGGAACACTCCAGTGTGGTGGAACACAGGGATAGGATGGGGACACCCTGATGGGATGGGAACAACCTGGCAGGTCAGGGTCACCCTGGGTGGGATAAGGGTTCTCCTGCTACTGGAGGCACTCAAATGCAATGGGGACACCCCAGCAGGATGATGGGAGGGGGGGCACCCTTGGTGGGATGGGGGCACTCAAGGAAGGTGAAGGCAACTAAATAGGATGGGGGGCCAGGGTACGGAGAGCTTCAGCAGTGTGGGAGCACCCAGATGGGGGGATCACCCTGGGAGGGATCGGGGACCTGCATGGGATAGGGGAACTCTGGGCACGATGGGGGGACCAGGGCAGGATGCGGGGGGGATGGTAGAAGACGCAGTGTGGCAGAGCATGTATGCACTGAAAGCACTCGGATGGGAAGTGACCCCATGGATGGGACTGTGGGGACCCCAGCTGAGGCACCCTGGATAGGGCAGAGGAACCCTGGATGGCATGAGGGCTGCCCGGATGGGATGGGGGGACCCCGAACGTGCAGGGAGCGCCAGGCACGGCGGGACCGGCCGTCGCCCCGTGGGCGCCCCGTGGGCAGCGGGGCCGCTCCGCCGGCGGGGCCGGTGCGGGGCCGGGGGCGGGCGCGGGGCCGGTGCGGAGCCGGCGGCGGGACCCGTGCGGGGCCGGTGGGGCGGTGCGAGCCCCTGCCCGGCCCCCGGTGTCGGTTTGCATCCCGGCTCCTCCCCGCCCCGCCGCCCCGCGCATTCCCGACCCTCCGGGCGGCGGCGGCGGCGGCGGCGAGGCCCGGCGGGGCCGGGGCGGGACCCCACGATGCCGCAGCTGGAACCGACGGGGGGGGACGACCTGGGGGCCCCCGACGAGCTCATCGCCTTCCAGGACGAGGGCGAGGAGCAGGACAAGGGCGCGGGGCGCGGCTCGGCCCACGGGGACCTAGACGAGCTCAAGTCCTCGCTGGTCAGCGAGACCGAGAACCGCGGGGGCCCCGGCCCCGGGGGCGGCCCCGGCCCCGAGGTGAGGCGGGGGCGGCGGGAAGCCGGGGGACGCGCCCCCGCCCGGCCCCGCTCCGCTCACCGCCTCTCCCGCAGGCGGAGCGGCCCCCGCCGCCCCGGGAAAGTTTCCAGAAGCCGCGGGACTCTCTGGCAGAAGGTACCGGACCCCCCCCACGGCGCCCCCCTTCCCCTCCTGCTCCCCGCTGCATCCCCTGGGACCAGCCGACACTTCCCAACTTCTTTGTTTCCGCCCCCGGCTGCGGGCAGGACCCCCGTGTCCCCCCGTCTCCCCTCGTGTGTCTCCCAGTTCCCCCACCGTGTGCCCCCCTCGTGTACTCACCTCCCCATATGTCCCCCGCCCCGTGTCCTTCTGCTCCACCCCGCGTGCCACCCCCGTATCCCCCTAATTCCGATCCTCGTGTTCCTCTCCCTGGTGTCCTCAACACCCGTGCCCACCCCGTGTCCCCGTAATTCCCCTCCATGTCATCACCCCCCGCCGTGTCCCCAGATTCAGCCCCCGTGTCCCCTCCCCGTGTCTGCCCTCCCTTCGTGTCCCCCTCCCATCCCCCGGCCCCCGGTCCCGCCCCCCGCTCCGGTAACCGGCCCCGGTCGCTCCCCTACGGCTCGGTCGGTGCCGCCCCACGGAGGAGCCGGGCTCGGTTGCCCCCCACAGCTGGGTCCTTTCCTGGAGTGACCAGCATCGGGACCCTCTGCCCCCCCGGGACCCCCCGTGCAGCCGAGATCCCCCTCCCGCGGCCACCCAGCAGCTGGGACTCCCCGAGAACAACCAAGGACACCCCCAAGAGACTTGGGCACCCCGAGAGGGACCTATCCGGGCCCTACCATGTCGGGACACTCCCCACTCCCCCCAGAAGAACCAAGGATCCCTAAGGGACTTGGACACCCCTAGAGGGACCTACCCAGGTCACTCCCAAGTGGGGACCTCCCAAGAAAAATCAAGGACACCCCCCAAGGGACTGGGACCCCCAAAGAGACTCGGGCATCCGCAGAGGGACCTTACACCTCCCCACGTGCGGACCATCCCCCAGGAGTACCAAAGACTCCCACAAAGTGACTTGGTCACCCCAGAGAGACCTGCCTAGGGTCCCCACAAGTGGAGACAACTCCCCCAGAAGAAGAAGGGACCCCCCAGAAGGAGACTGGGCACCCCCAGAAAGACTTACCTGCCCCCCCCTAAATGGGAACCCCCGAAGAACCAAGGACACCCCAAGGGACTTTGGCATTCCCAGAGGGACCTCCCCAGGCCCCACCAGGCACCCTGCCTTGCCTCCCTCCGTGGGTGCATCCCCCAGCCCTCTGCCTCCTGACCTCCCCTTTCCTTCTCTCCCCAGTGGTCAGACGACAACAAGATGGGGGTTTTTTTAAGGGTCCCCCCTATCCCGGCTACCCCTTCCTGATGCTCCCCGAGTTGGGTAGCCCCTACCTCGCCAACGGAGCCCTCTCCCCCGGCGGCGCCCGCACCGTAAGTGCCCCCCCAGACCCTCTCCTAACACCTCTCTCCCACTGTTTGGGGATGCTCAGACACACCCCCCTCAAGCCTCACAGCCCGTCCCGCAGGAAAACGACAACCTGGTGCTAAATAACCCCCCAAGAAATTGGGTTTATTCCCTTCACTTTGCCCCTTTGGGGTGGGAGGGGGGCCCTGGGAGGGGTGGGGAGTTTGGGGGGGGCCTCACCCCGGGGGACCCGCCCCGAAACCTGACCCTGAGCTGCCGCTTTTCTCATTTTAAAAGGGTTTTAAAGCCGTTAATGGGCCGACATTCTCCCGCGGGGGGAGAAGTGATTAAGCAAATTGAGCGAGAATTTCGGGGGGAGGAGGAGGGAATGGAGAGGGGGACCCACAGGCCTCCCCCCCCAGCAGTGTCCCTCGATCCCCAAACGATCCCATTCATGTTCCTGGGCAGTACCCTAAATTTTAGGGCTATAAAGGTATTTTAGGTGTATAAAGGTATATAAGGTGTTCCCTACCATATATGAGACCCTTTGCTGCCTCAGTTTCCCCTCCTGGTGCCTTCCCGCGGAGGGGGCAGGGGAGGGGGAACTGAGGGGAGAATTTTCAGCCCCCTGGGGGGTCCTCAGCCTTCTGGGAGGGGTGGGGACTCCGGCTGTGGTACCCACTGCATCCTGGGCTGGAGCATCCCAGCCCATTCCTGAACTGTCCAGGTGTATTTCTTGCTCCACCGATGCTTTCCCCTGTATTGTTTCCCCAGTATCCATAGGAAACTGTGTTCCCTTATGGGATATATATGGGATAACAACAGTTGTGGCATTTATAATGGCTTGAAATCCCGGAATCTGGCTGGTGTCGCAGGGAGAGTTTTCTGTATTTTTAGGGTTTTCCTACTTTTGTTTTCCTGGAAGCAACTGGTTGGGGTGGCCATGGAGCTCAAATCCTGGGATTGGGAGGGTGGATTAGCTAATTATCACGGTGTTTGGCCGGTGGCTGGATAAAGGTTGTATTCCCGATTTGTCACTTTTAGGATTATGAGGTTTTGGGGATGATGCACCATTGGCCACGATGCCAAACACTGGTGAGGAATCCGGGATAATGAGAAGGGATTGGTGTTGGGATCTGTCACAAGCAGCCACTAATGATGATTTAATGAATCCCAGAAAGGGGATTAATTAACAGGGGCTGGAGCACCTCCCGGATGTTTTGGAGGGACGAGTAGGGTTGGGAAAGTGCAGATTGGGGCTGAATCCTGACAGATTGGGGCCTCTTCGTGGAGCCAAGTGAGTGAGGATTATCAGGGAGGGAGGGCAAACTGGGGGTAGTGGGGGGGGCTGGGTGAATTTTGTGGCGCCGCCGGGTGAGGCTCTGCCAGACCCCTGGGGCACTGAGAGGGCCTGAGCGCTGTGCTGGTCGCAAACCTCCTTCCACAAAACCCCCTTCCACGAGCTCCTGCTGGAGTGGTGGTGCAGAGATGCCCTGGATCCAGCACTGATCCCAGGACATTGTCGTGCTGCCAAGGCTGGATGGGATCTGGCTGGGCTTGGCGTCCCCAGTCCCACAGCAGATCCACCTGGGCACAGCATCCTCGAGGCCATTCTGGGTCCAGCCAGGCACAGCATTGCAGTCCTGTGCTGGATCTGGCAGGACAGGAATCCTGCCTTGGATCAGGCCAAGCTCAGCATCCTCGATCCCATAGTGGATCCAGATAGGTGGAGGATCCCCAATCTCGTGCTAGATCTGGCAGGACAGAATGTCCTCAACCCTATACTGAATCCAGCCAGGAACAGCATCCTTGACCCTGTCCTGGATCCTTTTGGCTGCAGCATCCTCAGTCCCACAGCAGCTCCAGTCAGTGCAGCATCACTCAATCCCAAACCAGATCCTGATGGGCACAACATCCTTGATCTCATGCTGGATCCGGCCAGGCTCAGCATCCTTGATCCTGTACCAGCTCCACGTGGGCGCAGCATCCTTGATCCCGCATTGAATCCAGCAGGACACGACATTCTTGATCCCGTACTGGATGCAACTGGGCTCAGAATTCTCCATCTTGTACCAAATCCATCCAGACACAGCAACCCCAAGAGACACCCAGGTACAGCCTTCCCGATCCTCTGCTGGCTCCGTGGGATGCAGCCTCTCCAGTTCCACAGTGGATCCAGCCGGGCGCAGCATCCGCACATGAAGCATCGCCCGAGGGCCCCGAGCTCACGGAGCCAAACCTGCCACCCGTCTGCATCCCGGGAGGCTGGGACGGGCCCGGGCACGCGGAGCGCCGGGGTGGCAGGAGGCACCCCCGGCAGGAGGCACGGGCTGCTCTGGGAGCCGACTGTTCCAGCTCTCTCTTGTTTTACCCCAGCCTGGAGGAAACGAGCTGATCTGCAGGATCCCGGGGCGGCAGCATCCATCCTCATCACCCACGGTGCTGTGGATCCACCTGCACGGGAAAGGGAAGATTTCTGTGGAAAACCCACGCCCCAAATAATCTCTGTGGTCAGGAGATGCTCCGAGGAGGTGGCTGGGAAGGTGATGGATCCTGGGGACGGATGTATCCATTGGTGCCGGGTTCGATCTGACGGCAGCAAAACCACTGGAGGACTTCTTTGGAATACTGGGCAGGGAAGCACTGCTTTCACATCTCTTCACTATGAAGTCTTTAGAAATCCGGGAAATATTTAGGAATCTGGATACACAACGCCCTCTTGCACCCCAAGGTGGGAGAAGGCCCATCCTTGTGCCAACCCACCAACAGATGGATGCTCCTGCCCTTCATCTGGGTGTATTCGCTTTGCTCCTGGGTTGTTTCCAAACAGGATCCCGAGATCTGGGAAGTCACCACCCATCCCAGTATCATTTCCCTGGCAATTTCTGTCTGGGGGGTATTTCTGGGGGTCCACTCAGACGGTGAAGGAATTTGTTGGAAACTCCTGATGGCATTGGTGTTTGGAGCAGTGTTTTAGCCCAGTTTTCCCCAGAGGGAATCAGGAACTGGGGACCCCTGAGCCTGTGTTTGGCTCCTTGGGATCATTCCCAACACCACGAAGGTCTCCAAGGTGGGATGGAAAGGAAAAGCTCTGGACATGCAGGAACTGGATGGATGCAAATCGCTATTGCCACCACGCCGGATCCATTCCATCAGGAACATGGGGAGCTGACGGGTTTTATCCCAAACCCAGAATTAGCCGGATCCATACAGGGGTAAAATCTCATCCCAGCATGGGAATCTCATCCAGCTTGGGAAGGGGATGGGAACCAGGCACGGCACTACCAGAGAGGCGAAGCTGAGACCACGCACAGGATTGGCATTATTCCCAAAATAAACCAGTTTAACCCCAGGAATTCGAGTCTGGAGGCGAGGATTTAAATAAATCCAACCCTTCCTCAGGCATGGAATTCCATCCAAACAGCTCTCCCGACGCCATGCCAGTGTAATTAATGCACCTCCGTGTAATTAATGAGCCTCCGCGGGCTGTGATCCCAAAATAAATGAGGGAAAAATCTGTAACCTGGGCTTATTCTGGCTTTTTTTTGCACCATTCCTGCGATGAATTCCCGAGGATACAGAGCCGTATCTGTCTCCTAAAGAAAATAGATCCTTAACTGCGCTGCTGCCAAGGAAAATGATTAAAATACAGATTTTTGGCAGGAAAAAGGGTTGCTCCGAAAACTGGGCGGGTCTTGCTGGCAGCTCTAGTGGAGCGTGGAGGGTTTTGGCGTTGGGATGTGGATGGAAGTGTTGGGATGGGGGGATTTTTCTGGCTTGGGGGGCTCGTTCGGTGCTCTGCATCTCTGGACTAAGGTGGTTCCTCCTTCCTCCTGCACCAGTTTGGGATTTGCTGGTTTATTTAGGATTTACCTCCCCCGTCAGTGCCGCCTTCCTTCCCCACCTGGAAAATATTAAGGGAAAAAAAGGATTTTTTCACACTTTTTTGGCTTCTCCCTGTTGCTCCGTGCAGCTGCTGGGTTAATCCGATCCTTGCCGGCTCTGAGCCCTCCCCGTGCCTCAGTTTCCCCACTCCCAGACTCTCCCGCCTGCCGCACACAATGGCCTCTTTATCCCGCTCCTTAATTATGCTCTTCGGCTAATTACCCTGCGGGCGGGGTTTGTAGGGGCTAAATGAGACCTACAGGAGGACTTCCCTCCCCCCCCCCAATTCTCCCTCCTCCCTCCCTTTTCCAACACTATTCCCAAATTAAAGCGATGAAGTAAGTGCTCGGGGCGCCTCTGCTCAGCCCTGGGATTGTTCCGGGACTGAGGCACATTCATCATCCTTCTGGAATTCCCAGCAGCTGCTTTTCATTAGTTTTCCTTCCTTGAAGTCGCTGGCGGGAGCTTGGGAGGGAAGAGGAACCCGGGGGGAAGTGCCCAGTGCATCCCGGATGGAGGAAGAGGAGGGATAAGGGAAGGGGGGGTCGGGATCGTGTTGTGTCCGTCTCTCTCTGTGCTCACACCGGGACTTGGGGGCGTTTTGGGAGGAGAGGGGGTGGAGTGGGGGAAGGTACTCCGAGGGGGAGGGGGAGGGGAAGGGGCGATGGTGATGTTTGGCTTCACGGTTTGCACTGGTGTTTTTTGGCAACGATGTCACTCTGTGCCTTCACCCTGGGGATCCCGGAGCCCTGGGGATCCTGGAGCCCTGGGGATGGTGTTCAGAGCCTGGGCAGAGGGCAGGGCAGGTCAGCAGGCCGTGCTGGCCGTGCTGGTGTCCCATGGGGGCTGCTGGGGGGTACAGGACCCCCTGGAGTCCCCTGGCAGCCGTGGCCCCTGGTAGCAGGGGTGGCGTGGGGGGCTTTGGAGCGGTGGGAGTGTTGGGATTGTTGGTGGCGGGGCAGGCTGAGCCTGTTGTTCCCGCCGGGATCCCCCGTGCGGATGCAGCGGGATGAATGGATCTATTGAGGCCGGGGCCGGGAGCTGCAGACAAAAGCCACGGGGGGACTCGGGGCCACTGGGTTTAGGGGGCTGGGAGGGGGGGCCCAGCAGGCACTGAGCCCATCCTGCTCCATGGCTGGTG